TTTATCCACCTCGACTTCAATCGCTTTGTCGATCTCTTCCCCATGACGTCTAAGTCGCTGTTTTACTGGTTTCCTGAGGGGATCGACATTGAGTTTATGTTCCATAACAGCGGGGTCAATCCCTGTCAACTCTTCAGGGGTGAAGGCAAAGACATCCCTGAACTCCCTTAATAGTGCGATCAGCTGGTTTCGTAGCTCGGCTTCCAGATCTTTCCCGACCTTAGTGGTCTGCTCCTCTGTTTCTCCGATTTGTATCTCCATTAACTCCCCGTGGGGTTCGAGATCGGAATTCCTTGGCCTCTTTTCGTTCACCATCGGCTTTTTTCCTTCCTTCCCCTCCGTCCGTTGATTTGTTCTCACTGCTATTTGATAGCAGGTTCTTGACAGCCTCTGGTCGCCTCGGGCTTCTCCAACCCTATTTCCAACTGGGAATTTCAGCTTCATATGATAGGTTGACACCACCGCTTGGAATGCGTTGAGTGCCGGCCTTCCCAGAATCACATTATAAGCCGACTCGACGTCGACCACAACAAAGCGTACCATTTTTACTTTCCTTAAGTCGCCTTCCCCAAGGACGACAGCGAGAGTAGTTTCCCCCAGGGGGGTGACTTCCGAGCCATTAAATCCAAAAAGTGAAGTGTGGAGGGGTGAGAGTTCAATGTCGAGTTCCATGCGTTTAAGGCAATCGAAAAAGATCACATTTACCGAGCTTCCTGTGTCGACGAATATTCTCTGGACTTCGTAGCCCGATATCTGGGCTGTGATCATCAAGGCATCGTTATGAGGCCTCTCGACTGCTCCCATGTCGGCTGGTCCGAAATTCATCACCGGACTATCTTCTTCGACCTGCTGCACTTCGGTTTTTCCATGATGCCCTCGAGCATATGCTTTTCTAGCCCTGTTTGAATCGCCATCAGTCGGTCCTCCAAATATCATGTGAATTACTCCTCTCTTCTGGGGGAGCTCTTCCTTATCGGGTGTTCTTGCCCTCTTGTGAGGGCTTTTGCTTCTTTCCCTTCGTCTGTTGGTTCGCTCTCGATCCCTATAAACGAACTCTTTCAGATGGCCTGCCTTGATTAGCCTTTCGATTTCGTTCTTTAGGTGCCGACATTCGTCGGTGTTATGGCCGTAATCCTTGTGGAATCGACAATACAGGTTACTTTTAGGTTGTGTTGGCCCTTCTTTCCTCGTTCGTGGCCATCTGACAATGTTGTCACGGATTTCTCTCTCCATGACTTCAAGAATCCTGGCGTGCGGAGCTGACAGAGGAGTGTATTGGGTTGGCCTCCATCCCCTCGAACGGCCTTCTCTCTCGATCTTCGGGGGCTCCTTTCTTTCACCCGCCGAAAATGGCTTTCTTTCCTTCTTTTCGTCCCGAGATTCGGTTTTTGCCTTGGCCGCTTGCAGAAAGTCAGCTTCGGCTTCCTCAACATTCATGTATTTGGCGCATCTCCCCAAAACTTCGTCAAACGTCCTCCCGGGCCGCTTTGCTAGGGAATTCCTGCAGAGTCCCGGGAGTAGCCCTCGAGTGAGTCCTCCCGACTTGATCTCTTCAGAGGTCGATGGGACGTCGACACACGCCCGAGTGTATCTTGCCACGTAGTCCCTTAATGATTCCCCTTCTTTCTGCTGCATTCCTATCAAAGTGAGGTACGATTTTTCTTGTGCTTTCACGCTTGCGAATTGGTTCAGGAAACTCGAACTAAATCCATCAAAGTCTTTTATGGCTCCTGGAGGCAGTTGATGAAACCAATCCTGGGCTGGTCCCCGTAAGGTTGTCAGGAGCGCTCGACATTGAACGGGGTCGTTGTAACGGTGCAATACTGCCATGTTTTCGAAACTTCTGAGGTGTCGAGAGGGATCAGTCGACCCATCATACCAGATATTGAGCTCCCTGAACCCCTGCGGCAAGTCGGCATCTAGAATGTGTTGCGAGAAAGGATGTCCCCTCGAGCTTCCCGCCTTTCTTCCTCCCACTCGAGCCTGCAAGTCTCGGACCTGCGCTAGCAGCTGCTCCAGAGTATCGTTTCTAGCCTGTGGGTTAACAGTTCTTACAGAGGACTCCTCCTCCTCCACCCTCTTGTTCTGCCTTTCATGCGATTGGGCTTGTTGTTCGCGTTCAGGGGGTTGTTGCTCATTCTGAGGGTGATCGATTCTAGCTTGCTCGATTCGAGGTTGCTCGATTGGTATCTGCTTAATTTGGGCGGCTACGGCTTCGGCAATCATCCTCTGCATCTCACCTCGTGTCATAGTTAACATTTGTTCCTCGCTGTGGGGCAGCGGCTTTTTTCCCAACTCTATCGGTCCAGGTTGCTTTCCTAGACTTAGCCGTGTTTCGGTTGCATTACGACCGTTGACTTCTCCGCTCATGCTTCTCACGTGACTGGCCTCCCCCTGTGTGAGGACGGGGATTTTGACTCCTGGTGGGGTGATAGGCGTCTCCTCCTCTGCACGATTTCCTGACGGCGCGTGTGTCCCAAACGGTGGGAAACCAAACACTTGGAGTGGTGGCTTGGCGCTGGGAATCGGCGGAGGTCGCTTGTCCGTCCACGCCGCCCTGAAATCCTCATTCAAATTTTTCTGCGGTCCTTCCTTGTCAGTCATCTGTAACAGATCCAAACTAGGTGCAAAGCTCTTACTTCCTTCAAGAACTCCCCACAGACGGCGCCAAATGATGGGTCTGCTCTCAGATCTGGAATGGTTTTATAAGAAAACGTCCGGATCTGGGATGAACCGGTGTGAATGAGCCTAGATCTGTCCTGATGCCCTTCGAACCGTTGTTGAATCGTACGAATACCTGCAAGAACTCAACGCCGGAGGATTTTTCCGGCGTAGAGCCTCCGACGCTCAAGTCAGTATGTGAGAGAAATGATGTGAGCCGCTATCAGAGCAGCAGCTGAAAAGAGAATGTATGGAATGAATGGGAGTTAGGGTTTTGGGATTACCTCAGCCCTTTATATAGGAGTACAATATATACCTGAAGTCCCCAAAAGGCCCCGGCCGACTTAATGGAAATGTCCGGAATACCCCGGTCGGTTCATATTCCGCTTACTTCCTAGTCAGCATCTAGATCCTTCCTGAGCTTTCTTCTTATCCTTAATTCTTCTTCAATATACTACGGTGTGTCAAAGCTATCGAGCGACATGAGCTACAACTCCCTCAGTCGACCTGAAACATTATGTCGAGTCGACTAGGTCGCACTCAACTGTTAGTAGACCTTAATATGTCTGACCGTTAACTTACCAGAAGTTGACTTATTCCAGTCGACAGGAATACGTTGACTTGGTCGGGAGCCGGACTTCTTGACTGAGTATCATGGAACCTTACTAATAGAGTCGAATTTGCTGAAGTCGACTTTGTGATCTCAAACCGCGACGATACGAACCGTTATGAGCCAACCGCGGCAATGCCACGGTTATTGAACCGATGTACGACAGTGTGGCTATATCATCTAGTCCCCCCCCCAAAATTACTCAAAGCGATTTAGAGCTTACGAGTAGATTTTGTCGACTGGATTTTTTCTTTTTCTCGAGTCTTTTCATACGCCTCGTCATCAGTTCTCATCTTGGGTTACATCCCCTTATTACTTCAACTTGTAGTACGACTCGCTTTTCGTGAATTCTGACTTGATTAGATAAGTCTGAATCTTTTCAAATTTCAAAATTCAAAAGGTTAACATTTTCTCTCTCCGCCGCTTCGTATTCTGTGCCTCATCTCATCCGTTGAAAATGACTTTAATCCGAGGGCTGGGGTTTCTTCGCCCCTCCTATAAATAATCCCTTCTTTTTCTCCTCATCACTTTTTGCACTCTCCTCCTTCAAGATATCTGTCTGTCTCCGGCAATCACAGCTTTTTCAAGCTTCCCGGCGTTCCAATTTTCCGGCGTTTTCCGATTCTTCAAGACTTCTCGTCAAGCACCATGAGCTTCCGTAAGTTTTCTTTGCCTGTTCGACCTCTTTTTCTTTTCTTTGTTATTTATATATTCAAGATGGGTTTTCACTTTTCTGGGTAATTTGTCTGGAGATGAGAACATCTTCATTTTCTGGGGATTGCGTGTGAATTTTCTGGCGACTTTTCCGTTTAGATCTTTAATTATAGGTTTTGTGTTTTCCGCAAGTGTTTTTCTATGCTAGTCGTTTCGTTGTGGGGGTCGTTTTTTTTGTCTCGACCTTCCTTTATCGAGTCGAGTCGTCGTGGGGAAGATTTTTCCCGTTTCTTCTCCCTTCCTTCCCATTGTCGGGACACTCTGTCATCCTGGTTATTTTGCTGATCCTTTTCTTTAAATCGAATCGTGACTTCTGACCACCTTTCCTGATTGCCATCTTTTATTTCTCTTAGATTTCGACCTCGACCCTGTTTCTGACCCCGTCTCCGGTTCTCTTGCCCGTGAGATTGATAATTATTCGGATTCGGATTCTGTTCATCTGAACGATGTCGAGTCGCATTCTCATTCGAACGTCGAGCCGGAAGATTCTGTCCATTTACCCGCCTCTCCTTTTGTAATCGACTGGGCTGTGTATAACCAGGCGTTACTTTCGGGAACCCTTTGTGAGGATCCCGAAGTTCTTAACACCCTTGAAACCTCCTACCCCGACTTGGCTCCTCGAGGTACTTTCTGCTAGATTTCTTCGAACACCCTTTTGTCTGCGACCCGCCTTACTCCTTTATAACGACTTTCCTTAGTCGAGTCTGCAACTATTAGCATGTTCCATGATAAAGTTCTTATTACCATTTTGTCATGCTCCTGCAGCCGAAATCGATGGCTT